ATTACAGCACTATTTGTTACACAAGAGATGTGCACAAGAGGTGGTATAATGTGAATACTTTAATTTAGGAGATTTTTACAGAGGTCATCTAAGAAAGGCTTCCTAACAGGGATCTACCTTAGGCTGCAACCTTCAGCCCTCCTTGGATTTTAACACCTCTGAGATGGATAACCCTAGTGTGAAGGAAATGAGCCCTATGCTCTGTTAAAGGCACAGCTTTCCCAGGAAGGTCTTCTTGCTTAGAGAAAGCATCCTTCTGATCATATTCATGCTGAAATGGGACTACCCTTGCAATATAACTGAAGACAACTGTTACTCAGCTATGCAAAGAAAAACAGATGATCAAGTATCTCCTCTGTATGCCCTGCTGTTGATCAAGGAGGAAGTTTTTAATGAAAAGGTAGGTGTGTAATTCAATTATAAACAATTAGCAGCCTAATAAGAAAGAGTTTCTCCTCAGTATTGCACACTGCTAGTTTTCATTTTTTAACATTGGCAGATGTGTCACACATTATGAAGGAAAAAATCTATTGTGTTTTTTGGTGTCTCTCAAAGTGTTTTAAATACATACACAATAGCCATTATAATTTAAAAATTATTTCCAAGAAACTTGTCTTTACTTATTAAATATATGCTATTAGCCTTTCTGGCAACATTGCTATATTGTAGCAAGATATCTTTGTTTTGTGAGAACTGGGAGGGAGTATTTCCTAAACAGGAGGCCTGGTACTTGTGTTTTGAGGGTGTTTTCCCTATTTCTTTTGAGACACTTTGTAATAATTACAGAATCACAGAATCCTGTATACTAGGAAAAACTTCTGAGATCATAGAATACAACCTTTGATCACCACCTTGACAATTAGAGCAAAGTTCCATGTCCAGTAATTTCTTGAACACCTCCCACCTTGGTGCTGCTCAGGCAGGACCTGCCTTTCCTTGACCCATGCTGGCTGGGCCTGATCCCTTGGCTGTCCTGTGTGTGCTGTCTGATGACACTTTAAATGATCATCTCCATAACCTTGCTGGGCACCAGGGTCAGGCTGAGACACCTTTAGTTCCCTGGATCCTTCTTCTGGCCCTTCTTATGGATGAGCATCACATTTAGCAACCTCCAGTCAACTGGAACGTCCCCAGTTAGTCAGGATTGATGATAAGTGATAGAGAATGGCTTAGCAATCTCTTCTGCCAGCTCCCTCAGTACCCTAAATGACCAAGTTCACAGCAAGTATCATCACTGTCTGTCAAAGAGTTCACAAAGATACACGTACTTTCAAAAGTACTGTGCACATTGATGGGTAAAACTTGCAGAAAATCTTTACAAAACCAGTTTTCTTCACTTCACTTGGATATGCAAAGTTTCTGAATTAATCTAGTAATTAAAAAAGGGGAGAAACAAAAAAAAAAAAAAAAAAAGGCAAAAGTTGGTGCCAATACATATTTTGTAAAGAAAAAAGGGCTAAAGCAAATAAAATTGGCTATGAAACGAAACAGCATTAAACTGTGATCTGCTTATATTTAGGAATTTGCAAGATCCTGATATCATACCAGTTATCTGGTCTCATTTTTTCAAATTTAATATGCTCTATGTTCACAAGTTAGCAAGGCTAATTTTAGGAAAAACACAGAAATTGCATTTTATAGAGAAAAGAGTAGGGTAGAGAGAGGCATCCAATTATTCACTTGGTATTGAATGTTTAGTACATAATTCCTTCAACATAATTCCTTTTTCATCTAAACAGTTTATTGTAAATAACAGAATTTTAAGGTTTGTGGGGTCTTTTGTTTGTTTGTTTGTTTGGTTGGTTGGTTGGTTTTTTTCTATTTAGAGCAGTGAATATTCACTTGCTGTTACTTCATGAGTGGCAGAAGATTAGTACATTTAGAATTCGAATGTGTAATATTTTGGAGAAGATGTATACCATGACTTTCCTTCAACAGAAGAAATGTAATGTAGGCAGTGTTTACATGGGACACATCTGAAGAACAGTTTTACCCTTTTAACATCTATTTATTATCTCTCATAACGAGGAAGGAATACTACTTAATGGAGATAAACCATTCAATTGGCTTCAAATAGCCCTCAGCTTCATACTGCACAGTGTTTATAGAATGTGTTATTGGAGATGGATGCTTTTACTGTTAAAGGGGGAAAAAACTACTAGTCAGACTATTTTCAGTTATAATAGATGTGAAAAAACTGAAACAGAGAAGCTGCTCTTTTGAAAGCTTGGCCTAAGAGTTTCTGTCTCTACTTAGCATAAAGAAAAGCATGGCTTCCCAGTTTTTGTCCCGGCTTTTCACTAGTGTCACCAAGATACTGATTATTTGAGATAGGAAACAACATTATCTTGAGAGAGGTAAAATGATCAAGTTTTTTCAATAACATTGGTCCAATTTATATAATTCAAAATTAATACTGAGGTATTACTTCAAAACATGGACTGTTAACTACAGCTTTATGGAAGTCTTTGCCCAAAATTGTGCTCTTGTCAAAGTCAATGGTAATTTTAATATAAAAATTCTTCAGAAATGAAGGACTCAATAAGCACTTGTGTTTTAATTTCCAGACCTGTCTGGTACTTGCTTATTATACTAAATGCATTGGATGCAGAGATGCTCAGAACTCTTGAAAAATCAAATAACTAGAGGTTATACATATTATAATGCAAATAATAGCAACCAGATATTTAATACAGTCAAATCCCATTGTCTCATTTATGGTAGACAGATCCACTGAAATCTGGAATAAATTGGTAAAGTCACCTTACCTTTCTTACCTGGAAGGTATAATACATAAAAATAGACAAGCCCAGATATTTTACACTAGTGTTCACCATGTTACTGCAAATGATAATGACTAGATGTTGTTGTGCACTTTTGTATACTGCTTCCATTCTTTTAATTTTGCTACTTAAAATAGAAGTGAACATGCAGCTGAAAGATATTTAAAACGTTGCAGTAAGGATGGTTCATTAGAACTGTGTTTGTATTGAGGAACTCTCACTGTGTTTAGGTGCTAATTATACAAATAATCCCTTGCTGAGAAAAAATATATTAGAATTGGGGGTTTTATTATTAGCATTAGGTGGCCATTTGCTTTCTAGTTTTTAAATATTTAGCTCCCTGCATCAGAAGCTTTCTGGATCAAATTTGTATATTGATCAGATTTAAACCTCTTACATGGAAATTTTTATTTTGGCTTTCTGCCTGATCCTTTGGTTCAGATTGATTGTATATTGGGCACACTGGGTTTTTAAGAAAAGACAAAGTATTTTGTACATCTTCTAGAGTGACACAAGAATGTGTAATAGTAGGAAATTAATTATGTTTCTATATTTTTCTGTAGTATTTCTTTAATTAACCATCTGAATGTGTACCCTACTCATGTATCTTGTATCTCACTACTATAAATGGAAGCATATTTCAAGTGCCTGCCAAAATACATTTCTGGTCTCATACTTCATCTCATTAGGTGAGGAAGGAGAGGTGGTAGGGTGTCTTTGTACAGTAGGGAGTGTTTCAACTGTAAAGAGCTCAAGGATAGTGATATTATAAGTTTGAGTCCTGATGAGTAGGAATCAAGGGGATGGCCATGAAGGCAGATATCCTGGTGGTAGCCTGTTCAAGACAACCTAACCAGGATGAAGAGGCAGACAAAGCATTCTACAGGCACTGTAGGATATCTCATGATCACTGGTGTTGGGTTGTGTTTTTAGGTCTCCCCCAAAATGGTTGGTCCCCAAAATCGTTGGTCCCCATTCCCCCTATTTGTTAAAATGGTTCTGCCCTCCTTTTCCTCCTTCCCTCCTCCTGTCAATACCCTCCTCCCTCCACCCACTTTGTTATAAACCTGCTGAGTCATTCCCATAACCACACCTGGGACCTGTCTGTCACTCGAAGGCCTCTCCTCCATGTCTAGAAATTTCCACCAAGGGCCTCAAGTGATAGGCTGGTCTCCAGAGTCCCCTCCTACCTCCTCTCCTCATTGGATCCCACCCCTGTATATCACCCTTACCTCCACACCCCTTTGTTACCCTATTGGTTCTCTGTAAGACCCTCCCCCTGGTACCACCCCAGTTTATAATCCCTGGTACTAGGCTGTTCGGGGCCTTTCTGCAGGCATTTCCTTTTGGCTTGGGTGGCTCCTCGGAGTCACGTAATAAAGTTGGAATACAAATCCCTGCGAAAGGACGACTCCTGTGCTTTCATTACTCACTGCCAACGTCTCTTTGGGGCTGGGACGACCAGACTCACAAGCCACCGTCCCGACCTCCCAAGGACTGGGAAGGTGGCCACTGCTGCCCGCAGGGTCATCTGTAGCTGGGCTAGCAGGTTCTAAGGGACAGATGCCACGGCACACTGGCTCTTGTTAGTGGGATCTAACAAGAGACAGTGATCTGTTGTCGGAGACTTTGCTTTAAATTGCTGGATCTCTGCTGGACACTCAGCACAGCAGAGAAGAGGCATTCTAGGAGGTTCCTGCACCACATGGAAGACAATTTCCTCACAAAGATGGTGTATGTGCACCAGTGAGGGAAGATCTCACTCAACCTGCTGTTTATGAATAGAGGAGGACTGTGGGTGATGTGATGGTCAGAGGCTGTCTGGGGCATAGTTGTTGGGTTGTGTTTTTAGGTTCTCCCCCTAAGATGGCTGTTCCCTGTTCCCCCTTTATGTTAAATGGTCCTGCCCTCCTTCTCCTCCTCCTCTGCCTGTCAATCCTTCACTCCCTCCACTTGCCTCATTAAAATTCTGCTGAGTCATTCCCCTGACCCTACCTTGGGGCCTGTCTGTCACTCGGAGGCCTCTCCTCTCCATCTAGAAAGTTCCACCGAGGGCCTCGAGTAATAGGTTGGTCTCCGGGGTCCCCTCCTACCTCCCCTCCCCATTGGATTCCACCTCTCTGTATCATCCTGGTTTCCACACCCCGTTACTACCCCATTGGTTCTTTGTGAATCCCACCCTCTGTTACCACCCCTGAATAAAACCCCGTGCACAAGGCTGCTCGGAGCCTTTCGGAGGGCATCTTCTCTGAGATAAGGTGGCTCCTCGGAGTACCCAAATAAACTTGGACTATAGATCCCCCTGAAAGGACGACTCCTTGCCTTCTGTTATCGCCGCCATTCGTCTCCCCGGGTCTGCTTACTCCAGATCCACAAGATGCCGTCCCTACCACCTATGGACTGCGAAGGTGGCCCCCGCTGCCCACAGAGTCAACTAGTGCTGGGCAGGCCGGTGAGAAAGGGACCGACACTGTGGCGGCTTGGCACCCAACGTGGAGCCTGAGGAGATCACCAGACCCCACAGAGGAGACATCTGGACTTGTCCCTGGATTCTCCATCCTTGGATCTGCCCTACTTTTGTCTTTGGGTTGTTAAGCCACCCCCAGTGGGAGCAGGATCGATTTTCCGAGTGGCGCTCCTGGGAGACGGGAGAGGTAGCTTCTGCCTGGCACTGCAGAGGTCTCTCCCCAACAGAAGCTCCTGCCTTGGAGGTTTTTCTTTGCTCCCTGGACATGGGTAAGTAGGCGAAGTCCTGCTTCTTCTTTTTCTTTCCCCTTTTATTTAAAAAACCAAGGGGAGGTAAAATCTGGCTGGGAAGTGGGTTAATTCCCCCCAGAGGAGTTCTCACTTGGTTTGTGGGTGGGGAGAGAGTGGTTGTCTGTTGTGGAGTTGTGGTTTTATGTTGTATTGTATTTCACTTTGTTATGGTTCATTCCTCTGTACCCCCCTGTACCCTTTGGTTTCTCCCTGGGTTTTTTCCCCCATTTCTCCTCATGTGTCTATCATCCTGAAAGTGCTGATTCATTCCCCTGTCCCCTCCCAGGTGCCTTGTCTGTCACTCAGTGTTCCTTCCCATCTATCTGGAAGCTTCCACAGAGGGCGTCGGGTGATTGGACGAGGGCCAGGGGTCCCTCCCCTTTTCCTCCCTAATTGGATCCCCTGTTTGTCTATCCCCAAGAGAACCACACCCTTGTTTGTTCCCATTGGCTGTTCGGGTTTCTCCTCCCTCCTTATATAAGTTACTGTTTCACAGCACTCTGGTGCTCTCTCCTGTTGGATTCCTTCGTGTTCAGTTGGGCTCCAGGGGCTTCCTCGGAGTCAGAATGAACTTCAGAACTATCCCCAGGAGAGTGTCTCCTCTTCCTATTGCCGCTGGGATCAGCAGCTCTTTTAGACCCAGGAAGGCGCTCCCTAAAGCCTGACAGGGTCCAGCGGGGAGTGCCTTTTGCTGCCCTATTGCCCGTGGAAGAGCTAGCCAGGGCCAGTAGAGGATCTGCCTCTACGAAGTGGGGACGAGACGCGGCAGTCTGGGAGGATTGTTTGTCTTCTTTTTCTCATTTTCTCCTCTGAGGTAGTGATTTTGTTGTTCTGTAGCTGTTTACATCATGGGTGCTAGACTTTCTATGGAACAAAAAGGGGTCTTTTTCCAAATTGTGGGTATCCTTGTGGGGAGGGGGGGTGTGTTTGGGTCAAAAAGACCCAATTTAAGGATTTGGTAAAATGGCTCTTCCTTCATTTTCCAGATGTTTCTCCCGAGAAAGTTTCTATTATAGAGTTCTGGGATTCAGTTGGTCAAAAATTAACATTTCTGGGAAAGACTATGAGTAACTCATTGGCTAAATTAACATTTTGGAGCCTCCAAATTAGAACAGTTTTAAAATCAAATCAGAAGGTGGAGGAAGAGCCAAAATTTCAGAGTTTGTCCCCAGTTTCTTCCCCTCCTAGCCCTCTTTCCTCTCCCTCTACCCCTATTGCTGGCATTCTGAGGGGAGCAACCAGCGTGGGGTTGCTACCGTCTCCCCGGCTCCCTACAGAATTCCAGATCCCCCCACCTGGGGAGTCTGGGCCCGACTCCTCAGGACCTTCCCAATCCCCGCACTTACCAAAAATGAACAACCCTATCCTGAAAACCCTTTGTTTGATTTAATATCCCCAGTTTCCCTGACCCACAAAATGGCACCCAGGGGAGTCAAGATGGCAGGGGCCACGAGGGTTTTCCCACCACTTGCTCTCCTCCTCCCCAGAATCCCTTTCTCTCCCCTTCCAACCCCTTCCTGTTCCCCAAGTCCTCCCCTTCCCTGCACCTCTTTCCTCCTCAAGTCTCTCTCCCCCAGTTATGCCCCCAAACGATACACTCCTGAGGTGGAGACTCCCTCCTCCCACGCTCCCGCCCCTTCTCCTGGCTCTTCCCACCTGTGCTGGACTTCTGGTTCCCACGGTCCCCCTTCTGGTTCCCACAGTGGTGTGACCAGGTGGGAGGGGCCTGGGGACGGAAGTCACCTGCCTTCCCTGTCAACTCCATCAGCAGCCCTTGTGCCCATTCCATCAGCAGCCCCCATCACTTATGTCCCCCAGGCTGAGGGTGGCGTTCACCCTCAGTGGACCCTGCTGCCCTAACAAGTTATAAAAGAACTGTGTAAGGTGCAGAGGGAGTTCATGAGGGAGAATGAATGTTTCAGAGGACTCCTCAGGGCCACCTGTTGGGTTGTGGTTTTCCCCCTTTTTAATGGTTGTTTCCATACCCTCCTTATGTAAAATGGTCCTGCTCTCCTTCTCCTCCTCCTCCTCCTCCTGTCAATCCTCCTTCCCTCTACCCATTCCATTTGAAATCCTGCTGAGTCATTCCCCTGACCCCACCCCGGGACCTGTCTGTCACTCTGAGGCCTCTCCTCTCCACCTAAAAGTTCCATCCAGGGCCTCGAGTCCTGGATCAATCCAGGGCTGGTCTCTGGGGTCCCCTCCTCCCTCCCTTCCCCATTGGATATTTTCCCTGTATGTCAGCCTGGTTGTCACACCCAGTTATTGTCCCATTGGTTCATGGTTATCCCCACCCTTTGTTGCCACCCCCCTTTATAATACCGTGCACACTGTGCTTGGGGCCTTTTGGTGGCATTCCCCCCTAAGTTGAGGTGGTTCTTCGGAGTGTGCCAATAAACTTGGACTGCGGATTCCCCCCAGAAAGACGACTCCTGGTCTTCTGTCACTGTCTCCTCGTGTCTCCTCTTGTCTGGTAGCTCCAGACCCACATCTGTCCTTACCATCCATGGCCCGGGAAGGTGGCCCCTGCTGCCCGCAGTGCCTATAGGTGCTGGGCAAGCAATAGTGAGGTACAGGCACTGTGACAGCTTGGCGCCCATCGTGGGGCCTGAGGAGACCGCCAGACCCCACAGAGGAGACGTTTGGGGCTAATTCTCAGATTCCTTATCCCTGGATTGTCCTGCCACAGTCTCTTGGACGTTAAGCTACCCCCAGTGGGAGCAGACCTGGTTTTACAGGTGGCGCACCTGGGGGACAGGAGAGACAGCTTCTGCTGAACTCGGAGGAAGTCTCTCTCAGACGGAAGCTTCTGCCTCAGGCATTTTCTTTTGCCCCTTGGACGCGGTGAGTAGGCTGAGTAGTATCTCTTATTTTTCTTTCCTCCCTTGTTTCTTTCTATTTAAAACCAGGGAGAGACATTTCTCTCCTGGTTGGTGGGTGGGGAGGAAGACTGGGAGTCTGTGTGGGCTGTTTGCTTTTCTTTCTCATTTTTTTCCTCTGGGGCAGGATTTGTGCTGCTCGATAGCTTTTAACATCATGGGTGCAAGGATTTCTACCGAGCAGAAGGGAGTCTTTTTCCAAGTTGTGGGAATCCTTGTTGCGGGGCGTGTTAGAGTTAAAAAGAGACAGGTTAAAGAATTAGTTAGATGGCTCTTCCTCCACTTTCCTGAAGTGACTACTCCTGAGAAGGTGTATTGAATTGGATTTGGTCAGACAGAAATTAACAGTACTAGGCAAAACCTGGAGTAGCTCTATTTCACAAATGACATTTTGGAGTCGACAAATTCGAACAATTTTAAAATCAAAACAGAAGGTGGAGGAAGAGTCACGTTTTCAAAGTTCGTCCCCAGTTCTTTCCCCCCCTAGCCCTCTTCCCTCTCCCGCTAGCCCTAGAGCTGGAATTCTGAGGGGAGCAACTCGTTATTCTGTGTGGGGCTGCCACCATCTCCCTGGCTCTCAACAGAATTCCAGATCCCCCCGCCTGGGGAGTCTCGGCCAGACTCCTTGGGGTTTTTCCAGTCCCCACTTTGCCCGAAAATGTACAGCCCTGTCCTGAAAACCCTCCATTTGGTTTAATATCCCTGACTCCCCTAGACCCCAAATCCCTATCCCCCAGAACCCCAAAATGGCGCCTGGGGAAGACAAGATGGCAGGTGCCATGAGGGTTTTCCAGCCACTTGCTCTTTTCCTCCCCAGAATCCCTTTCTCTCTTCTTCCAACCCCTTCCTGTCCTCCAACTCCTCCCCTTCCCCTGCTCCTCCCTCTTTCTCAACTCCCACCCCCCAGCCACACCCCTAATTCCCACGCCCCTAAATGCACCTCTGAACACACCCCTGGGGTGGAGGCTCCCTCCTCCCACAGTCCCGCCCCTTCTCCCAGCCCCTTCAATCTAGGCCAGGCTTCTGGGTCCCACGCTTCGCCTTCCGGTTCTCACAGTGGTAGGACCGATGGGAGGGCCCTGGGGATGGAAGTTACCTCCCATCCATGCTCATTCTATCAGCAAACCTCGCACTGATCCTGTCAGTGGCCCTGGTAATCTATGTCCCCCAGGCTGAGGGTGGCGTTCGCCCCCAGTGGACCCCTCTGCCTTACCAGATCACAAAAGAGCTGTGTAAAGTGCAGCGGGAGTTCACTATGGAGAGTGAATGCTTCAGGGGGATCCTTAGGGCCACTCTTTCATCCGACCTCACCCCTGCTGACCTCTGCTGTTGGGGTGTGTTTTAAGTTTCCCCATTTCATGGTTGCTCCCTCTCCCCCTCTTTAGGTTAAATGATCCGTCCTTTCGTCTCCTCCTCCCCCTCAGCCTGACAATCATCCCTTTCCCCACCCATGTTACATAACCTTTTGCTGAATAATTTCCCTGATCCCACCCCGGGGCTTGTCTGTCACTCTGTGGCCTCACCCTTCCATCTAGAGGCTTCCAGCTAAGGCCTCAGGTGGTAGGCTAGTCCCTGGGGACCCCTCCCTCCCTCTTACCCCATTGGATATCTTCCCTGTTTGTCACTCCTGTTATCACTCCCATGTTGTACTCTATTGGTTTGCTGTTGTTTCTTCCCTATGGTACCACCCACTGTTAAAAGCCCAGGCACACAGTGCCAGGGTGCCTTTTGGGGCATACTTCCTTCATGTTACAGTTGTCTTTATGGACTTCCAATAAACTCAGAATTCAGGTACTCCCAGAAGGACAACTCCTTCGCTTCTGTCATCGTTGCTCCGCATCTCTTCCCGTCTGAGGGTCCGTGCCCACAGGCCATAGCTCTCGCCTGCAGTGGCCAAAGAGAGTGGCCCCAGCTGCCTGCAGTGCCAAGGACACTGGGCTAGAGGACACTTTGGGAGGCACCACGACATTCCGCCAACTTTTCTCTTGCCTACTAACACCAACTGAATTCCTGCGGTGGGAGGCAGAGTGGCGGAAGGAGGTCCAGGATGCCCTATTCCACCTCTGGGAGAACCCGGCCACCTCTAATGATGCATGCTCTCCGTCGACCACCTCTGTGGTCAGGCGGAGTGGGCTGATGGAGTGAGGCAGGCCGTGGAGATCCCCTGGGGGGCTCTCCATGAAGTGGTAAAGGCAGCAGAAAAGGCTTTTTTGAACCTGAAACCAAAAGGTCAGGTCCAGAATTATTTAAAGATAACTCAGTCCCCTACTGAACCATTTATGGAGTTGTTTGTAGAGCAACTTTGCAGGGTGGTGGAGCTGCAAGTGAAGAAAGAACAGGTTCGCCAGGAGGTGCTGAAGGAGATTGCAGTTCTCTATGCAAACGTGCAGTGTAAAGCGGCCATCCTGAGGTTACCCATGGAGCCTCCACTGACCCTGCAAGACATGCTTGAAGTCTGCGAGAAGAAAGCAGCAGAAGAACCACCACCAGTAGGACATCCACCTAGGACTGGACCCACAAGAAAAACATATGCCACTGATGCCTTTCCTGCGCCACACCGACCCAACACTGCACCGCCACCTCCAACACCCAGGTCACCCCAGGACGGATGTTACTTGTGTGGAGAACCAGGGCACTGGGTTGGGAACTGCCCGGTAAAGTGGGAATTTCAGCAATTTAAGAAGGGACAGGGTCGGGGTCAAGGGCCTTCAAAAAACTAATGTATGAGTGCAGTCCCCCCCTGTGCTCTGACATAAATTAAGTGGGCTCTTTAACATCGCAGGGAGGAGACACACAGCAGACGCTCACTTGGACTCTACAATCTAATACAGACTATGACAATAACCTGCCGGAGATGACACCCACCCACTATGATATCATGCATAAGAGACCTATTTTAACCACGTGCTCCAACTTCTTTCCCTTTAGGCTCCAGCCGACGGAACCTATACATCTATGGGATTCTGACCACCACCTTATTTCAGTTTCCCCCAAGGGTTCAGGTACCTGGAGCCGGCTGAGATGTAAGTACATAGTCATTGGGGACTCAAGTACACACCCCAGGAGATCGTGCCTGGGTTGATAACATCAGAACCAGGGCGATTCGTGCTTCTTCTGTATTGCGTTCGCCTGCCCGTCTTCCTCCCCAGGGGACAGATAGTAGCCCAGTCCATCCCAGTCCCCAAACCACCTTGGAACCAGGAACAGGCCAGTGCACTACAGAAAAGACTCTTTCCCTCAGTCTGTTGGGCACAAGTCCTGGGGGAGGACAAGCCAAAAATCACCTGCAGCCTTCATCTGGGTGGGGAACGCAAAACAATACAGGGGCTCCTGGACACTGGGGCAGATGTGACGATCATTCCAGCTTGGGAATGGCTGTCACATTGGGAGCTGCAAAATGTGGCAGGACGCATGCAGAGTATAGGGGGTGTACAATTGGCGAAACAGTCAAGGAGCGTTGTTCAAATTGAGGGGCTGGATGGGCAAGTGGCCTCCGTATGCCCATTCGTATTGGACTTCATGGAACCCCTGTGGGGAAGAGACCTCATGGCCCAGTGGGGAATCAAAATACCAAAATTGACATCCATAAGTGTCGGAATCTGTGGGTATTGGTGATTCCGAGATTGTATAAAATCTCTGTCTTTCTGCCCCGTTGCCAAAGAAGAAGCCATAGTTCGTCTGTGCTGTTTTCAAGGTTGTTTATTTTTGCTTATCTCTAACATGTTCTGCTGCCCTGCCGCAGGTCTGTCCTGCAGGGCAGTGTGCGGGGCTCTGCCCCTCAGTGGGATGGTACAAACATTATATACCAGAAATTACGTGTACTATATTTACAATAATGTGCCAATATCTATCATCTACGTTGAATAGTGTGTCCCTAGCCTAAACCAATAGAAAAATGCCAACATCACCAAGAACATGGAGGTAAGGAAGAAGAAGGAGGAAGAACAGGATCAGGTCCACTTTCCTCCATCTTAGAACTCCTGACCCCCCTGTACAAAGTAAAACCCCCCTGTACAGGTGTTAAAACCCCCCTGTACAATACTAAAAAATTTTACCCTCTAATTTGTAACTACTTTTACTATACCATCTAACTCTCTGTGACCGCTTGTTCCACCTTCAAAGTTGGTAATTCATTCCATGGTTCAAACTCAAAATCACAGCTGTTCTCAGCTGCTTGCCAGGGTCTAAAATGCTTCTGACCAAGGCCTGGAACCTCTGAAAATGTCTGAGGGACATTTTGAGTTCCAACACATAAGGCCCGCCAGCTTTTTTGGGCAGCGGTCACTGAAAAGCGCCTGTGGGAGGGGTTTCTGGAGACGGTCCCCCTGAGATGCCATGGGAGGCAACCAATGTGTGAGTTCCCACCTCCCTCGATGTCAGTCTTTTGTTATCCCTTCCCCTTGTTCATGCCCATCATTGTGTAAGCCGTGCCTCAGTTCTAGAAGCTTCTTTGTTCTATGTACCCCCATTGGTTCCTTCCTAGTAGACACTCCTTCCCCTTGTCCCCATTGGTTGTTATCCTGCCAGTTTTCCTCTACTCCGCCCTTGGGCTTTTCCCTCATTGTTCAATGTGCACCCTGACCCTCCTACCCTGTTGCTGTTAAATACCTTACCCCACCCTCCGGACGGGGCGCTCAGTGTCTGCTCCACTTCCAAGTGGTTGTTTCCCTGCACCTCTGCCTTTCGCTACCCTTCCAATAAACCCTCTGGAAATCAGCTCACCAAAGGTAACGTGGAGACCACGTCCCCGTGGAACTCCCCAACCCAACGAAGACAAATGGCGGCTCCTTCACGGCCTCTGTGGAATCAACAAGGTCATTGAGGATATGGGGTCTCTTCAACCTGCAACGCTCCCCCGAAATTAGGATTTGGTTGTAATTGACATAAAGATTGTTTCTTCCAAATTCCCCTACACCCTGATGATGCCCCACATTTCACCTTCTCGGTTCCAGCCATCAACTGAGAAGCCCCAAAGCAGAGGTACCACTGGCGAGTCCTTCCACAAGGCATGAAGAACAGCCTGGTGATTTGCCAGTGGTATGTCTCTTTCTTGCTCTGCCCCATCTGTGTAGCTGCGGGAGATGACATCATCCTGCACTACACGGATGACATTTTGGTGTGCAACCCTAATAACGATTTACATGCCTACGCGCATGACCTAATAACTGATGCATTGGTTGCTACAGGGTTCGAGCTCCAGACAGAAAAGATTCAATGGATGTGCCCTGGAAGTACCTGGGACTTGAAGTGACGAGGAAGACCATTGCTCCTCAAAAAATCGGAGATAAAAAATTCTGTCCAGACCTTGGTGGATCTACAACAACTATGTGGGTCATTGAACTGGATAAGACCATGGCTAGGCATCACCACCGAGGACCTAGCCCCCTTTTCAATTTATTGGAAGGGGAACAGTGTGGAGTCGCGTCTCTAGATTTTATTATATTAGCATTCTGTAGTGGTTTGTTCTCATGTACTCCCACATTCTATTTGGTTTCTCCCTAAGTTTTCCTGCCTTCCCTCCTGTGTCAATCACTCCTAAAACTGCTTAGTCATTCTCCTGTCCCCTCCCAGGTGCCTTGTCCGTCACTCGCTGTCCCTTCCCCTACATCTGGAAGCTTCCATCCAGTGCACCAGGTGATTGGATGAGGACCTGGGGTCCCTCCCCTGCTCCTCCCTCATTGGATCCCTTGTATGTCAGTCCCCGCAAGAGCCACTCCCTAATGTCTTCCTATTGGACAGTCAGTTCCCTTCCGTCACCGTATATAAACTGTTGCAGGCACCTCTCCGGTGCTCTTGTTGGTTGGCTGTATTCGCTCTCTTTTGGACCCCTCTGGGTCACAATAAAGCTTCGGAGTTTAGCCCCCAACGAGAGTCTTTCCTTCTGTTATGCCAGCAGGATCTGCGGCATCCTTGGAACCCACGGAAACTCTCTAAAGCCCATCTGGGTCCAGCGGGGAGTGCTTCCTGCTGCCCTACTCACCCCATGGGAGAGCTAGCCGGGGCTGAGGAATTTAAGACAAGGATTTGGGGTGAGGATGTGGCAGTTTGGTGTCCAATGTGGGGCCTGAAAACCACCAGACCCCACGGCAGAGGATATTTGGAGTTGCTGGGACTCTTGGATCTATTGCTTGTGGCCGTCAAGCTATCCCAATGAGAGCAGACCCACGTTCTAGTGGGTGGCGCTCCTGGGGACGGGACCGGCAGCTCCGGCCAGCACCTCCAGAGTTGGTCCTCTGTCGGCAGGCCAGCACCTGAGGATTTATTTTCCACCCAGATGTGACCAGACCATCTCTGGGTGAGTTGGTTCCTTGGGGCTTAAACAACCATTCTTTTGAAGGGTTTTCCTTTCTCCCGAAGGGTAGGGGGAGGGATTGCCTTTTTGGGTGGGTTTTTCTTTCTCTCTGGTGGTGGGGAAAAGATCCCACATTCTTTTGTTACAGCTCTCTTCCCTGGGGTGTCGGGGAGCTCAAAGGGCTCAAAGGATTTAAATTGTCTGTGGGGGTCTTCCTTTTTCTGTTGTAATTCTCTCAGTTGTTGGCTTTGTGGCACATTGGTAACATCTGTCAGCATGGGTGCGTGGCTGACAGTGCCACAAAGGAGAATTTATTCCCAAGTTGTGGGCATCCTTGTGGGGGGTGAGAAAAAGTTTAAGTTTCCATCAGTCACTCCCCCTGGCCCTGACTCCGCCTCCTCCCTTAGTTCCCACGACCTCACTTCCAGTTCCCACAGTTTGGGTTCCAGGAGGGGGGAGCATGGGAACTGCGGCCTGCCCCATTCCCTGCCTGCTTTCTCTGCCGACCTGTCACCTTCACCCTGCGGTGGGGAGGCAGGCCCCTCACACAATGGTCCCTCATCCCCCAGCAAATCATCAAACATCTCTGCAAGGCCCAGAAAGAATTTGGCAGGGAAAGTGAGTTTTTCTGAGGGCTTTTAAAGGCAACACTGTCATCATCTGACCTGACAACAGATCCCATGCCCTACCCAAAGGCACCTTCCTTATTTGCGGAAATTGGGCTTGGGCTGTCATCTCCCCTCATGTAGTTGGAGGTCCCTGCACCTTCGGGCAGTTGAGCCTGTTTACCCCCAATAAACCCCAAATTTCTCATTGGCAGACCCTAAAGAAAACAACACAATTGTCACGACCAAAATGAGCTTGTGAATTAGGATGCAAATTGTGCGGAAGTCATTCATTGGTCGAAACCTAAAAGTGTAGCCACCATCACATTTTTACCATGGGTGGCTATTGCACAAACATTTGGGGAATTGCCGACCCTTGAATAATGGCTAACTAAGCAGGAAAATCTTACATCAACTGCTCTGTCAGGCCTCCTATCAAATGAAGAAGTAATGAGGCAGGCAACCCTACAATATCATGCTGCTATTGATTTTCTTCTACTTCTTCATTATCAATCCTGTGAAGAATTTGAGGGCTTGTGCTGCTTAAATCTAACATCTAAGGCTCGGGACGTCAGGAAAGCAATCAATCAAATGAAGAATATAATAAAGGACATCAAGAGAGAGACTGAGTACTGGCTGGGAGACATGTTCAACAGTTGGGGATTCTCAGGCTGGGTGACTTCTGTGATCAAGACTGGACTGCTAATTCTGTTTATTTTTATTTTAGCCCTGATTGCTTTTGGAATTCTGAGATGGGTGGTATCCCAACCTTATCGCCAAGGCTTTAAACATCCCAACTGCGAACCAGGCGGCAGTTCTACCAGCAGCGGAGTCCACAGAGGACGAAGAAAACTACACCGAGCCGGAGCCTCAGAGTGGACCCTGGAGGGAGATTGCTTCAACCTGCCAGCCCTAGTTCGTGGACACCTACCTGGACTCAGAATTTCTTCCCCAAATTGAATTTAATTCATTTTAAGAGACTTTATTTTTCTTTCTTTTTTTTTTTGTTTAAAATAAAAAAAGGGGATAGTTGTTGGGTTGTGTTTTTAGGTTCACCCCCTAAGATGGTTGTTCTCTGTTCCCCCTTTATGTTAAATGGTCCTGCCCTCCTTCTCCTCCTCTGCCTGTCAATCCTTCCCTCTGTGGGAGGGGGTGTGGCTGATGGCCCCCCTGCTTTGCCTTGGGAGGCAACTGATGTTAAGTTTCCCGCCTCTCGCGGTTGTCAGTCTTTTGTTATCCCGTCCCCTTGTTCCTGTCTATCATTATGTACTCCTTCCCCTAGTTCTGGAAAGTTCTAAGTTCTCTGTATCCCCATGGGTTCTCCCCCCGAAGCCACTCCTTCCCTCTATCCCAGTTGGCCATTGCCCTGTTGCTCTTCCCTGACTCCACCCTCGAGCCCTCACCCCGTTGGTTGTTTCGCACCCTGACCCTCCTACCCAGTTGCAGTTATAATCCCTGCCCCGCCCCTAGTTCGGGGCTCTCGGAGCTGGCTACCCTTCTGAGCAGTTGCTTCCCTTCATCTCCCACCTTGCTCTCCTTCACCTGAACCCTTGGAAATAAAGCCACTCGTGAGTCACCCGCCTTCGGTGGAAGCTCATCATTTCTACAACCATTCAGAGCCTGCGGACCTGATTGTGTGGCTAGCCATAGTGGTTCCAGGACCCAGACGTCTCAACTGGCACCCGAACAGACTGACCCCTGCAAGGAGTCAGTCGAAGAGCGTCTCCTCGACAGCTTCGGCTCTGTGATCCGGCTGTTCGAGGATC